TACTCATCGATCTCTCACTCTCGCAACTTGTTTTCCTCCACTAGATACTTCAATACTTACCACCCAAGGTTTTCACCACATCTCAAACAATGTAAATTATTCACATCAAGTTGTTAGCATATTAACCAAGGAACCGCAAGGGTGAATGCACTTATAATTGTGTCGTTTGCCGTCGTTTCATGATATCATTTACAAACAATATAAAGAATAAATTTACAATTTTACAAACAAAAAGTTGGGTAATAAGTAAATTATTATATATATTAAAGGTAGGTAAATGATACAACATGATTATGTAATAATAAAAAAGTGCAAAATGAGAGGAAAAAATAAGTAACACCGTAGCCACACCAAATCGATAATTACATAAAGTGATACTTTTTATCGTTACGTAACGACATATTTAACGATATGATACAATAAAACTTAAGTAACAATCAAAACAGCTATCCAAACAAGCTGTTAGAGTCAATTTCATGATTTAAAACTTTGTTTGGACACCTTTTACTACCACAACACTAGAAGCTTTCCTCGTGTCAGTAGGATTTAAACAAGCAATATAAAACAAATTTTTCTCACATACACGTAATTTTTTGCATAATACGTTACATCTCCTCACCCCTTTGAGATAGTGATGAGTTTCAAAAGCTCTCACATGTTACATGCAATATTATAAGACAGTACCCAATCCATCATCATTCTCGTTTCTCTTTGTTTACCTACTGTTTAAGATATGACCATCTGCATTCTCCACTTACTTCCCCTCCAAGTTTTAACCTCACAAAATAAAGGAAGGAATATTTAAAGCTTACTAGGCCTCTGAAATGGTAATAATTAGCAGGTTATATATATGGAGGAGAAGATGACTTTTTCTCCGATTAAATCGGCTAAAAAAGCAAAAGGAGTTTTCAGATTCTCTGTAAAATTGGCAATCCAAAGAGCATATTTTTTGACTGTCTAATCACTTCATACTCTCTGACGCCTGCTCCACTTATTAGTGAAATATAAAGGTGAACAGCTTACTTTGCTGTCATTCCACGGACACACAGTGAAAGCCACCGATTTCTTACTTAGAAAAAAGATCACTCACGAGAAACTTGCTTGGATTAAGGCACTTTACATATTAAAAAAAAGTGTAAATACTAGCAATATATAGAATTAATTATCCACTCAGATAAATCAATCAATCAAAGAATCTAGACATCGATCTCAAACTAATTGGAACCAAGATATGATACTAATATTTTTTTGCTCTACTAGTTCTACGAAAAACAAGTGAAGCAGCATAAAAAATAGGAAGCACCAAAACATCATAAGAAATATGCATTGTTCATAAGATCAATAATTCACAATTAAGCGCCCAAGAGAGGAGAAGGAACCTTTGATTTGTTATCCACAAGTCATAACAGAAACATAATTATTCACTTAGATAAATCAATCGATCAAAGAACCTAGACATCAATCTCAAACTAATTTGAACCAAAGATATGGATACTAATATTTTATTGTTCTATTTTGGACTGGTAAGTAATTTGTCTTTTATTGCAACTCAAGACTTGTCCAAAACTAAGTTCTCTAAGCCTAAACACTTATTCCTATCCAGACTTAATGTAAACATAAAAACAACTCAGCCTTAATCCCAACCAGTAGAGTCCACATTGGTTTGTTGAGATTATAGTACCTTGTCCGATTTTATCCTCCAAGTGTGTTGTCTTTACCTCTGTCTAATTACATCATTTTTAGTTTTTTTCCCAATCTTATACGACCACAAATCTATCTAAACTTCTACATTGCTATGACACTAGTCTTAAAGATAAATAGACTTTACTCCGATATAATATTGTCAGTGTCCGCCTATAAAGTTTCTTGTCATTTTGTTAGGTATCTTTTAATCACATAATGTTGCTATAACATCCACTTCAACCATCCTATTTAAATCATATATGTTCCGTCTTTATGTATCATGCCACTCTCCTAAGGCCTGAAACTTAAATTTCTGAGCTGTTTGCGTTTAAGTACCAAAACCATCAAATCTCACTTCACATTCATTCTTTTGATGGATGCTAACTTGCAATAATATGTTGCTCTCTTCTACTATTCCTAAAACACTAGTCTTGTTTCTCTATAGTTTCAACAATAGCAACTATGACTCTTGGGATCCAGCCCATAAACTCTGTTCTATTAACCAGCGAATTATTCACTTGGATAGAGTAAAAATCAGCATCAAGAAACTCTACTATTCATTATTTTTATCCTGGTTTATTAACCCCAAGAAAAAGCAATATATTATCGAAACCATGAGTAAGCCTGTTCAATCCTCTTATATCAAAATTTACACATGCCATGCAGAGGACAGTAAAAAGAAAAGAAGAAAAGGAAAATCACATGAATGAAGAATCCATGCAGTAAAACTGGTATACTACTGCCCATTCACCACCCCCACTCCAACCCACGACCAAGAAAAAAAGAAGAGGAAGCAAGTAATAAACGCCGCTTATTTTAGTTTACATTCAAACCAAAGTAAACCAAGCCTAAGTGATCATTTATATTAGTGATAAATGAGATCCCAACCACTGCAAAATGACTAAAGAAGAAAAAATAACATCTAGACCCAGACTCAGAATCACTGTATAAGCAGTTCCTACACAAGCTGATTTCGTACATCCTTGATAAACATAGACCAGTAGTTGGTCAAGCGATGCCCATGGTTAACAAGTTCTTCAAATGATTATTTGGTACTCCTTGCAAGTTGCAACATTGGGGGGAAGTACCATTTAGAAAAAAAAAACATCTGGCTGCCAAGGTCAACCACATCAGCCAACTGTGAATACACACATCTGAGGTCAAAATTTTCCTAAGATCCTTCTACCTAGAAAATCCATTGGCTGGAGTTTACATTTTCATGTGTAAATGTTTTAAATGCCAAACTATTCCTTCAAAAACTATAGCAGCAGGCTATCCTCATCCGAGGGACAAATGTGAGCTATCGTGTCAAAGGGTATTTACAGTTCCTCGAACCATCCTCAAACTATTCCTTTTAAAAGTTGTGATTTCATAAATGAACAACTTCAAGAACTTCCCATATAGCACAACAATGACAACCAATTATAAGCACGTCTTTAGTCTATGTCCTGCAAAGACAAAGAACACATAATATGAAGGACATAATGGGTGAGCAACACCTGTGTTCCTGCCAAGCACTTGCTGCAGTATAACTCCCCTCTTTAGCTCAAGACTAAGACCTGACATCTTTATGAACCATATGAAGTGGTTAAGCTGCTAAATTTCCATGTGAAGCTCCTCTTTGAGACTAATTCAATTGCTCATAGCGAATTTACCCAGTACCATCTGCTCAGCTAATAAACTACTCATAATTCAACCATGATGAAAAACTCATACTCAATCCTGCAATCCGATACTCACTCCAAGCAATATCTTTTTAACCTACAATTGTTTACTAAACCCCATTGCTTGTTTGAACTAACATACCTCCAAGACTGTGTGTGGAGTGCAAAATGTTATTAACCAGTTATTTTACTAGAGCTTAGCCGAGGCAAGGAACATAACAAATCAAACGGCAAGGAACATAACAAATCAAACAAAAACTATTTCTTGAGATAAATCTAAAATTCTCGAGCACTTTATAGAGCTTCCCATTGCTAAAACAATATATGGAGTAACATTTGGTGATAGAGAAATTCATTAATCTATTGCGAGCAATCATTTCCAACTGAAAATGTAGATCTTCAGCCATATCTTTGAAGCAGCAACCAAAGTTCTGCTACCTATTGACCAAGTTAAAAGACGGAACATGTTGATGGCCGTAATAGAGGAAATGGTGGAAGGACTCCAAATTTAAGTGATTAAAGATGACAAAAGAAACAGGAAGCTGCAATCTTCTAGACTATACCTACTCCAGGAATTGTGGAAGCAATTAGACCATTTCTTTTCTTTAGGTAAGGTTGATAAACTAGACTCAAATGAGACCAAATTTTCGGAGGCATTTAGATCAGATAAACAATACTATTCTACATCTACTATGCACAGTAACTAGCTATGTCAGTAATGAAATTTCACTCACATAGATTCGACATCAAAATCAGTATTTTATTATTAATAGTTAATAGATTACTCAAAAACATGGTTTCATTTTCTGCTTCTTTAATAAAGTCTAAATACGGTTCCATGATTGACAGTTAAGGTCATCTTCCATTAAGCACAGCTTAGCTGCCACAGATGCCTTATCTCACTCCTCACCTATACTATATTAAGCTTCCAACCATCATCTACCACTTGGCACACACTGCGAAAAAAAGAAGAGAAAATATCTACTGATCTACTAAACATCTTACAGAACCAAGTAATTTCCTCATTTGTAATAAAACTTTAGTACAAAGATAAAGCACACCCCTATAATAGAGATATCACCCACTCTATGCTTGATATAAAGAAGGATTAAACTGAACTAATTTCAAATAGCTAGGTGAACAGGTCTTAAACACAACAAGTGACAGAGATAAAGACAAGTAACTGAAACATATAACTGATTAAATAAAGTAATGAAAAAATGTAACTGATTCATCGGATCAGGTAAACAGTGCACACGGTAGTGCAACATAAAATAAGTCTATAGTGCAATGAGCATTGCATGAATCAGGAAACATACTCACAATGTCCTTGTGATGCCCTCAGTAAAAACATGGTCTAGTATTGCATGAAGAAACAAGGTTTCCTTTAAAGACAATTATCTAGTTATCTGAACTCCCTAGACTTCCTTTAAATGAAAACTAGTTTAGCTGCGGCACCAGAGAATTATAATCAAGAATACCTTTGATGAATTCTTTGTGCTAAATTAAGTATTGCCCATGACCATATATAAGGAAATAGGTTATCTGACCCCAAAATTCTAAAATAACACAATCTTTGGCCTGTCTTCACTACTGTAAGTTGTCTGCTATATACCTTAATGGCAATCCAGTCATCAACTAGATAGTACAAAATACACAATGTTGCTTAGCGAGAATATGTCATTACACAATGACAGTACAGTTACTGGCAAATCAATACAGGCATCAATATATACTGGATCTTCTGAAGGAAATGTAACATCAGCCCAAAAGTTAACTGCCATTTTATCCAAGATGAGTCCTAAGTGACAATTAGAATGCCAAGAATTCCTAATAGAGAGATCACTGAATATTTAGGTGGGTTTAAGTGTATACAAAGAGTCAGCTGACCAGGAGGAAGGACATTAAGTTGGTCAAGGCATGTACATTAGATTCAGAATATCCAATTATATGTAAACTTCCATGCCTATATACTTAGTGGACTGACACAAGGGACAAAGACTAAGCTTACTTTCACACTCTTTACACAGGCAGAGATGCTTACAGGGTAACAATAGCATGCAAACTTCATTGACTCTACAGACCTTACAAGTCATCAACTCCTTCATTTCATTGCTATCCCGGCAAAGCAAGTGGAAATCTGTGGCCCGTCCATTACAGCACGATGCAGTGTCATCTACCTCACTGTCACCACAGCCTTCTTTACTATCTCTGCTTTGTGCGTAAACGTGTTGCAGATTTACCTTAAGCGTGTTAATCAGGTTTTCATTGTATTTGGCACGCTGTTGCCAAGCATTGGCTTCTAAAGCCAACTGTTCCATTCGCAATTCAAGTTCCATGTTTTTCTTGTTGATATCCTCAACCTCTGCCTCTTTTTCTCGAAGTTTCTGAAGGACCTTTTCTTCAACACAGGTGATAGTTTGAAGCTGATTAGCCTGAACCTTCTCCAAGATAGCTTGCCTCAAACGATCACCCTTTTGAATTGGAAAAAAAAAAATCAAGCAGAATGTTTACAACAAAGATAATATTAACATTCATAATTGTTATAAATGCCACTATGTCAACTATTTGGACAGGTTCATGCCAAAGAGATTTTAACTAGCAGCTAGAATATCTAAAGCAGATACTTTATTTTTATAAGAATATCAACAGCGAAACTCAAGATGCCAACATCTGAAACATGAGCAGAAATAAAGACTTCCCTATTTCATATCCAATGTTTAACAGATTCTTAAACACACACAAGAGTGTAACATTCATTAGGTTATTTATTAGTATGAACCAAAACAAGTAATTACACTTCAAATACGAGTCCTATACATGATTCAGGTCAGGAAAAGTTTCATGTATGCAGCTCTGTTACCTCTCAAACTATCTCAAAATTAATTGACAACAACAAATCTTCTCAAGCTAAAAGGCCTAACAAACACAACCAATTGGCTGATTTTTTTTCACAAAGAAGCAAATGCTCAACTGTCAAAAAGTTTCTGTACCTACAACTTCAACATGCTATACAATTTCCCTGAAAGAAATCTCCACTAACGGAAAGCTAATCTGACTGGATAACACCAAGGATGTACATTCATTAATTTAATAATATACTTTGTCCTACTCCGGCTTCAAAAATCCTCACAACCGACCTAGTTAAAATTCAAGGTTTAAAGGGAAATTCCAGTAACAACCAGGGCAATCATGTATGCCAGCTCAGCCTCATTTAGTAGGAACAATAACACTCTTCAGATATACTTACTCAATTCCCTAAATCACTGCACCCTTAATGTAAACAGTAAAATTTCCAAACCGTAAATGTAAGGTGAAGAAACACAAATACACACACACACACTGAAAAAAAAATTGATACTTAAGAGGTACAGTAGTCATGAAACCTGAACTTTGATGTATCTATCAATATCAGCATCTTGTCTCTGCAACTCACGCTCAATATCATCACCCACAAGCCCAAGAAATGCTGAGTCACCACATGAACCCAAACGTCCATTATCCAAAGACAAGCCCAATCCAGTAGACACCGATCGCTGCTGCAAGAAATCAACAGAAGATATCTGAGAGTTATTGTTTTCAAGAAAATCTTGCTCTTTGAGTCTCCTTTTCTTTGGTTCCAGTCCATAATTCCACTGCAAATCTAGCGCTCCTTCATCAGCTGGACCAGGAGCTAACCCCGCTACTTGAACTGCCCAAAATAAATGAGCAACAGGAAAAATAAAAGAGAATTAGATAAAACCCTAAAAAGTTTATTAAGCAAAAAAATAAAAATTAGGAATAGAAGAAATACAAGCAGGAATATAAGGAGGGTGTTGAGACTGTTCGGGAAGATTTGAGCCGTTGAAATAAGCAACTGGGGTTGAAATCTGACCGTCCATATTGTTGTATATATCTCTACAAAAAAATCAGAAATTAAAATCAGAATAGCAAAAAGACAAGATTTTTAGACAAGAAAGGGGAAATTTTTAACATGGGTAAGATGAAATTCATAAGAATATACCTGAAAGATTTGGATTGTTGCTGCTGTTGTTGTTGCTGAATACTGTGTAGTTGAGGATGGTGATGAGGAAGAGCCATAGCTAGGGTTTGTAGAGAGAGAAGGGAAGGTGGGAGAAGAAAGAGAAAAAGTGGGGGTGGTGTTTTCAATATTGAAGATTGTGAAGGTGGTTCGCGAAGAAAAAAGATTCTCCTGAATTTGCTGTTTCGTCCCTGTAATTTCAGGAATTGTCAAATTGGGCGCATGGGAGGAGTTTGGGTGGATCAGGATCGTTAATTGGGCTAATCTCAATTACTGATGGGCCACGACAGATTCAAAATGCGTCGGAATTGCACTAGATATCCGCTTCGAGAACCCAACATATTAAAATTATTTAAAATTTAGCGGGTATTAGCAAACTTTTTTTCTGATTTGTAAATAGAAAATTCAGACACTAATAATACATGGATTACATACATAGATCAAGCATTTGAGAGTTGATTCTAAGGTGGTTAAGTTTTAAACACTTTATTAACTTGGGATATTATTTAAATAGGGGGCTATTTGTGCACTTGCCCCCTGAAATACCCGTAAAGCTAAAAATGAAATTGACCTTGAATTTCCAATGGGGACTGATCTTATTAGACAGACATATACTCAATCTTTTGGGCTGACCTTAGACACACCCTCCTTGAATTTGAAAATGGAAGTCAACAGTTTAGGCTATTGGTTTCCTTGATTGTCTTTTAAAGCACATGTCTTTTTCTAATTAAGCTAAATAGAAGCCTTGATTTCGATTTGGAGAATATGAAGTGGAAGACAACATAAATTAAGATAAAGAAGAATACTCGTGACTCTATTGCCGACAAACTGAACTGGAACGCCGCTCTCTACTTGACCTCATTCTCCATGTGAGGCCAACAACGTCACGCCCTCCCGGACTCAGTGTATAGCATGAGCTTTTCACCGGGTTGCTCTTTATGTCAAACAACACCTACTAAGTCTCGTTCTTATGATTCAAATAAGCCTTAAACGAGTTTAGATTTCTATTGCAAGGATATACTTCTTCAATAAATATTATGCTTAATTATTTGCAAGTGTATAGTGGGGACTAACAAATATCTTTTAGTGATATGATCATTAAAAAAATTACACTGTTTAAACTCATTTTGATAATGGAGGAACGTCCAAAAATAGACCACACTTTTTCGACATTTCAAACATTAAGGACGATTTTTGCTACTTGAGATATTAAATAAATTGGCTTAAACACTCTATTGTGGCCCCAACTCTCTCTTTTGCTACATTTTATTGGCTTAAGCGCATGATGATTTTAAAACAATTAAGACTACAAGTCGGTTTCCCTTTCAATGTGGCGCAATATTTGTATAATAGACAATGTTGATGGAAAATATCTCTAGGTGACATTTTGACAATCCTTAATTAAAAGCAGTGGGGCTAAAGCTATGTTTAATCCATCTGATTTCGTTGTAAAACTTTGACTTTGGGCAAATATCAGACTTATATATCACCAGCACATAAACTAATAGCCAACTAATAGAGCAGTTCCTTCTTTTTTAGTAATTTTCCTTTTATCAGTGTAACAGTTGTACTTCTTTCTTGATCCTTCCTTACAAGATCTTCTGGAAAAAGGAATAAGAGGATATACACAAAGCATTATAAATAAACTAGTAAACTTACCCGCATTTTGCGCGGGTTTAAGAAACATCAATAAAATTTTAAAAGAGAATTTATCGAGCTAATAACAAATGTAGATATTATCCCTCTTTTTATGAGAAAGCAAATCGCCAATAAATAAAATATATTTGGTTTAATTCATAAATTTAGTTTATTTATAGCAAATAATCTATGTGATGTATAGTTAACTGTATATGCATCCGTTTTCTTGCTCGTTAGCGCTTGACTAATCAATGAATATTACTTAAATTTTATCTAATTAAGAAAGTCCAAGACTAAGAAAAATAAAACCTAAAATTAAAATAAAAGTTGCATAGATTCTTAAAACTATCAATTACACAAATAAAATAAATTAAATTATTGTTAGTTGTACATTGAGAAGCTGAAAAATTATATGAGAAAAAATATATATACTTTTTGACAGAAGATCATTAGGAAACCTCCTACTCTTACTTTGCAACATAAATGTTAAAATATTTATTCGGTTAATTTATTATATTATTCTGGTAGTTAAAACATGTTTTTATGAGATACATTTAATTGAGTAACTGTAATATTAAATTAGAGATAATGTCACATTTTAAAGAATAAAATTCACCAAGTATTCACTACAAAAGAAATCTGGTATTAGCTACGAATGGCGTCGCTAATCTGTCACTAAAATGCTTGTAGCTATCAGAATTTCTTGATAATCCGTTGCTAATCCGTCGCCAAAATGATATTAGCGATGGATTTTTCTGTTTAGCTACAGAATTTGTCCGTCACTAAAATCTGATTTTTTAGTAGTGATTCACATAAACATTTAATTTTTTTAATAAAAAAATATTTCAATAACACACTTAATAAGATAAGGATCAAAACTAATTGTGTGTAAATCCTAACATTAGAATAATGAGTATTGTTTGCAAGTTGATTATGAACTTCACTAAGTTTTCAATCATCGTTAGTATAACCCAAAAATAAAAAATACTTTATTTCATAAAGTTAATAACTCGTTGTCTAGTGATTTTTAAACTACTAAAAGCCTACCCCATTTACAGTGTTAAAATTTTTGATCGGTAATAACCTATTATTACATGTGATTTCTTAATTAATTAGATTATATTATATGTTAACTTAAAGTTATCTACAAATTGTCAATGTCATAGATTAATGCCTAATTCAAAAAAGTTCATTAAAGGAAAGAAATATAGGCAAAAAAATTAAGAACATATAGAAAAATATATTTATAAAAATGATAAATCTATATATAACAGGAAAAGAAAAACACATTAGAATCTCACTTCGACATCGGATAAAATCACGACTCAAAGTTATTGCAATTGTAGAGTATAAATATATACAACAAAAAAACAGATATCAAAATCTCTATGTATTATTTGAAAAAAATCACTATTTCAACTTATACAACATAAACCTAAAGATGACAAAATCAAAGACCATTAGTGAGAATTGTGAAATAAGCTTTACTTCGATCTTCACCTCATTATTTGACACTTCCTCTTAAACATTCTTCTTAAGATTCACACATGTATGGAATATATTCGTGCATTTGCCTTAAACAAAAACAAAGAATAGAAATTATACCATATCTTAGTATAATTTTTCTTATCCACTACGATCTTTGGCATAGAGATAGCTCAAACCATTATAAGCAGAATAATAAAGGTACATATGGAGGAACATATAATAAATAGTCATAAACTTACACATTAAATATTTAGAGGTTATGAATATAAAAGGCATGAAAGTTATTGAGATTATTAAAAATATAGGTTATGAAGATAAAGAGGCGTGAGTTATGAAGATTGGATTTTTAATATAAAATAAATGGAAAAAAATGATGAAAACCCTCAAAAAAGGAGAAAAGATAAATGTGTTTTTTGGCTTAAGAGAGGTGTCACCTCATTTTTTTATTGCCCACTTTATATATATATATATATAGAGAGAGAGATTATATGAATTTTGTAGACTTTGATTGTCTTATTACATATTGTCCTTATTAAAGAAGTGAATTATTGAATGCCAATGCTGCTGTTACTATCAAATTATGGCTATACGAGCACTAATATTGAATTCATATAAAACTTGTACTCCGCTAAGCGTATGGTGGAAACCCAACAAACGAGTAATAACTTGTAGTATAACACTAATAATTTACTAATAATGACAATGATAATTCAACACTCTAACAAATAAACAAATCAATCTACAATATGACAGGATCGTATATATTATAATAACAAGATTAATTAACATAAGAAATGAATAATCGTCACATCCTTCGCTGTCCATTTTCCAGTATCAATCAGCTGTTTGCGAAGTTGTTGAAAATTTGAGCAATTCAAGCAAAGACATTAGCCAAATCCAGCCTGTCCTGTCCATATTCCACTCAAGAGAAAGTTGGTAAGTGGGGTAAAGAGAGAGACCACGAACTGCCCCAATAGCTATCAATGTAGTACTTACTTGTTGACAATAAAGATTGATAAAAATATCAAGACTTTACCAAACCCAGAGGCTCAATAATCAACTGTATGTACAATTCTTTAGCGGAATCGCAACGTTAAGCTTCTGGGTATTAAGAGTAATTAAACAATCAATCGTCTTATAGAATTTTGGCTTCACTAATTGGCCCAAAACATAAGCTCTTGATCGAACCTTAAAGTTCAATTTCAATGGCACGGGCTGTGCGGTAGCGCCTTTTGGGGTGCTCAGACTTGCTCCACTTCCATATAGTGGAATTTTATTTCCAATTACCGATACAGCTACAACTCTCTGGCTCTTTCTTGATTGGTGGAATTTCTTCATCTGAAAAACAATGGAAAATAAGAATTTCATGAACTCAAATTAAGTAAAAAAGCTAGTTAAATGACTTACTGCTCCGGAGCCAAGTATGAGCTCTGAAAATGAGAGATCAACAGGGGATGAGGTGACATGTACACCAAAAAATGTTGCAGTATTACGATAAACGAATTTCACTGTAGCGTTCATTGAGATCATATCGGTTGCTACTCCAGAGTTATCAGAACCAGCTTGAATCCCAAATCTCTCAAATTTTATGCTCTGAAATCAAAATCCAACAAATACTCATTTCAAATCTCCCTTTAAAGCATCAAACTTTTCTATTTTTAAAATCAAAATAATAGCAAACCAAAAAGACAGTCCTTCCTCATTTCCTGTTTATGTTTATGTGACACTATTACTTATTAATTCGTTCGAAAAATAATGACATATTCTTATATATATAAATAATTTAATTTTAATCTTTTTTTTATTACCACATAAATATTACTCCATTATTGCACATTTCAGATAATAACTTTCAAAAGTTTATATATTTTAAAAAAAAATTGTACTAAGCCAAATTATGTCACTTAAATTAGAGCAGAGTGATTAAATTAAAAGACTTACCCTCATGGTAATTTTGGGTTTCTGAGGACGACTAGCACCCCAAAGGACGAGAGCAAAGAAGGAGAAGAGGATAAAAAACGCAACAACAAAGGCTAGAAAATAGCAACGGCGAGGGAGAGGTTTGCTGTACTGATCATCTTCAAGCAGGCCTTCTTCTTCAATAACATCACATTCCTTCCACGGCTTCTGCCCTTTGCGGTGGTTTCTACCGCCGGCTGCGGCGGCGGCGTCGTTAGGAGAAATTTTCCGAGATCCAGGCTTTAGTGAGCCAGAAAATCGGCTGGAGGAGGATTCACGGGAGTGACGGCCAACGGAGGAGTGAGAGTGAGGCGGAGAACCCATAGGACTGATAACTGGAGTTGAATGAAACGACGTCGTTGTTTTCTCCCCATCGTGTGAATCACGCGACGGACTTTGGACGTAATACACCGGCCGCCGATTATGGTCCGGTGATGATGGTGCCAAGCTGCTGGTTACATCTGAATCAGTTTTCGCGTGCATTTTTTCCGCTTGAATCAAAGAAGAAAAGAATTGTTGAACTGTAGTTAGTGAGTTGGGTTTTACTTTGAATTGAGATCCTGATTTATTGCTTTAATATGTAAGTACAAAATGTGTGTTTTTTTTTTAAAAAAAAATGTATTAGTCACCGACGGGATAAAAGTGGAAAATAAAATAGGCCTAACAAACATTATTGTGGAAGTCGTAGAGTTTCATTGATCAATACAGCTGCCTTAGAGTTGGCAACTCTATTACCCCGCGTATTGTAGATTTTCCTACTTTTGATGACTAAAATTTACCGTAAGTTGTAAACTTTTAAACTAACTTCCATTTTTTATGATAAATTTTTCTTTTTTGCATTTTTTAAAAATGTCTTTTTAGTACTCTCTAGTTTATCTGAACTTATTTTCTTTTTGGTCCGTTTTAAAAAAAATTATTTATTTTTAAATTTGAAAATAATTTAACTTAAACTTATAATTCTACCCTTAATGAGAAACTTTTATAACCACACATATATTTTGTGCCCCTTTTTAACTTGTTTAGGAATATAAATTTCAAAATTTTTTATTTTTTCTTAAATTCTGTGACTAGTTAAACATATTCACATAAATTAAAACGGAGAAAGTATTAGATAATATTTTAATTTCAGATTTTTATTTTACTTTTATTAATATGATCTTGTATTTATAAAAATGCTATGATATATTTAAAATCATAAATTTTATAAATAATTTTACTATATATTAAAAAAGATTCCTTTCTGAAGTTTTTTTGTCTAGCCAAATACGGCTAAATGAAATAAACTGATGGAAGATTTTTCTAATATATTATGCCTGTGATTGCGAAATAATGTCCATGTTGGAAAAGTAGAGGAAAGTGGGCGGTTCGGTGGAGTGGGATCCACCTTTAACACTCAAACCATGTGAATTTAGAAAAGGGCAACCATGGTTTCTTTTTATTTTAGTTTTCTTTTTTCTTTTTCCTATAAAAAAAGATAAACCATGTGGAAGGATGCAGTGTGCTCATGGATCATATCTTTCTGCTTTTCTCTTGATTAAGGCAACTCAAGATGCTTATGGTCATACACTTTATTGATACGACTAAATCTTTTTTAGAACCAAATTTTAATGTTATATTATAATATATATTATCTATAATAACACTTCACTCTAATAACTAAAAAATATTCAGAACAAACAAAACTTTTATGAAAAGGTTCGATTGTACTCCTTATTTTGATTCTATTCCTAAAGCAAAATATACACTAACAAAAAGTGGCACTCTAGTGAACTTATAAAAGCCTAAATCATCTTACCTCAAATTAAATAGAACACAAACAATAAGTTTCTTTTAAATTAGATACTTAGGGATCGTTTGATACGCGGACTAAATTATTCTGAAATTATATAATCCCTGGGCTAATTTATCCCACCTGAGAGGTGGAATAAAATAATCCTTAGTTTACGAGATAAGATGAGATAATACATGAGATTAAATTTATATTGTGTTTGGTTGGCGATATAACCGCAAGCCAAACATAATATAAGTTTAATCTCATCTCTTATCCCACTTTAATCCCGCGTACCAAACGACCCCTTTAGAGATTTTTCTTATGTTCTCGTTTGATAGATGAAGCAGGCCAAATGATCCTGTCTGTTTGAGGCCTTTCTTTGCTGGAATGTCAGCAAACAAAGGTCCAAAAAGGCCCAGTAATGATAATTCTGAACAAGATTCGACCAACTAAAGCCTATCCAGCCTTGTTGGGCCGCATTACAGAACCAAAGAAAGAAGCCCATCCACTTAAGTTGGCCCTTCTTTTGGTTTAGAAAGATCATTGTAAACGTTACGCTCGGTTTGAAGAATCTGCTAGTATAAGCCTACAACGTTGGAGGAACAGCCGAGGCATACACACATAATCCATGAATATCGTATCAAACTACTGATTACTTTGTATGGGGTAAAATATATTCATATTAAATGCTCGCATGATAAAGCGATACGTGGAGTCAAAAACAGAAGGCAATCAGGTCCGAAGGCAACAATCTCGTTTGTTCCCGAAGGGAATTGTGTTCATAAAGGCGAAATAAATACCTGCCACCCGGTAGCATTTAATGGAGAATATTCTATAACATTAGCTACATAGTCTGTTACAGAGAATATGGCATTCACTGCCTACCGTTACACATTCTTCAATGACCCTCATAATTGTCCATTAAGAGGGCCTTGATTCTAGGACTTTGTTCCCGAGGTGCAACTATAAATAGTGAGCTCAACAACCATTGTAAGGACACAAATTTTCTAACAAGCTCATACTGTACTCTATTCAAAGCTCAATAATATTTTATCTTCTTGCTTATTAATATTGTTACTACTGTCTCCGGAAGCTCTGCTCCCTGAACCAAGATTTTTGTTGTCTTATCTCGATTTCAACGCTACGTCTTACATTTATGTTTAATTTATTTATCATTTTGGGATCAAATCGATTTACTTGTCTATAAACCACGTGTAAATTCAATTGTACCGTTTTGCGGGTAAACATACTTTGGCGCCCACAGTGGGGCTTAGACAGTTGTGTAATTGAGTTGGTCCTTGCATCTATTACTAATGTGTTTGATTCTTTGTTCTTACCAAAAATCATAGAAAATGGCAGATAACGATGTCAACATTGCACACTACGTTGAGGCCCAAGGAAATCAGCCTCAGCATGAAGATTCGATTAGTGATACCCGCAATGAGGTGGACGAGGCCACGCCGGTCCATGGCGGGAAATATCTACGTCAAGTTCGAGAGGCAACTTCTAATGATACTGAAGAAGAGCACGTCGCTGAAACAGTAAGGACCCTGAGGGAGATCCAAAAAGCTATTATGGGTCATCTCTCACGACAGGATCAACTCATGACGGAGTTGAGGCATGCGTTGTCGGATGCTTCCAACAACGCAAATGAATGAGGTCTAGTTCCTCCCGGTGCTCTTGCAAATCAAACAATGCAGAGGGTCGACAATAATACCCGAGGGGTAAAGTCGGCTTTGACAGGGTCGGGGGGAACAATAGCGGATCCAGTAACAACAATGAGAATGATCCCTTTAAAACTGAACTCATGCGGTTTATGAGGAAAATAAACTCCCGAATGGATCAGATTCCGGGCGCACCACTAATGTTGAAAGGACCGGACTCAAAGAAATACACCCAATTGTCATTCAAACTAAGAGCGGCACCAGAGTTGATCCCGAAACAGTTCAAAATGCTAGACGTGCCAAAGTATGATGGGACTTCGAATCCTCAGGAGCATATCAGTACATATACAACGGCGGTGAAGGAAAATAATTTAGCTCCGCACGAGATTGAGTCAATCTTACTGAAGAAATTCGGGGAGACCCTCACGAAAAGGGCCATTGCATGGTATTCGCTCTTGCCCGAGCACTCAATAGATTACTTCGAGATGGTCGCAGATTCTTTTATCAAGGCCCATGCCGGGGCCAGAAAGGTACATGCCCGAAAGGCCGGCATATTCGGGATTGCACAAGGAGAGTATGAATTGATGCAAGAGTTTGTGACCAGATTCCAGAAAGAAAAGATGTTGCTCCATGTCGTACCACATGAATGGGCAAGTGAAGCATTCACTAAAAGGCTGAATCTGAGAAGTTCCGATACTTCCCGAAAATTAAAAGAAAGTCTACTCGAGTTCCAAAAAACAATATGGGTGGATGTTCACAACCGGTATGAGTCAAAGATAAGAATTGAGGATGATCAGCTCGGTTTTCCGTCATCAACCAAGGGTTGGGACTGAGAGAAGAATAAGGAGAAATCAAAGGATGATTTCAACACAGATCGACGGTCTTCAAGGGGTCAGTTTCTGCCCTCTGAACGGGTAGAATGACGCGACAGAGGTTTTCGATCGACGGATAGATTCGCCATCGATAGGAGAGCAGATCGTGACCGAAATAACATATCGATGTAGGACAATGAGATATCAGGTTCCCGGGACTCCTCCTTCCTCAGGCTATCAGAGTACTACTTCAACGTTAGCGTAGTGGAGCTAGTGTCAGCTATGAGGAACATTAAGGAAGCACGATTTCCGAAGCCAATGAGATTTGATTCTAGTCAAACGGATCCTAATTTATGGTGCGAGTACCATGGGACTAATGGCCACCGGACATGGGACTGCCATCATTTGCATGAAGAGGTGGCGACATTGGTGAAAAATGGCTATCTCAGAGAATTCTTAAGTGACGGGGCTAAAATAACTACGACCGCAATCGTGATAACGCAGAACCTTCAAAAGCAGAAGAAGATCCTACACGTTTGACGATCAACATTATCTTCGGGGGAAATAAGATTAATGGTGTGAATTTTTTGGCGGCAAAAAAGACGAAGGTGTCAGTAACCCACAGTAAGAGACTCCGGGAAGTCGTTGAGGACGATATTACTTTCACGGAGGAAGACACAGATGGACTGCTGTTGTCTCTATACGATGCTTTGGTAATCTCTTTAAATGTCTTAGATTTTAAAATTGAACATGTTTTGGTGGACCCAGGAAGTTCGGCCAATATTATCCAGTGGAGAGTCTGGAGCAAGCCAAGCTGACCAGAAGCATTATTCCAGCCACAAAACTCCTCGTCGGGTTACGCTTGACAACCCGATGAGAGATCTTGCTGCCCACAAATGCCGAGGGGGTGATGAAGATGACTCTTTTCGAGGTAGTAGTACGCAATATGGGATACAATATTATCCCGGAGAGACCATGACTGCACGAGATGAAGGTCGTGCCGTCAACATATCATCAATTACTGAAGTTCCTAACTCTCGAGGGGAGGAGACCAACCGGCGGCAAGGGAGATTGTTACATCCCATGTTTTCGTATGCAAAAATACGTCATAAGTCAATTGATGGAAGCTAAAAAATGAGATGTTACATCCCGCATTTTCATATGTTAAAGTTTCGTCGTAAGTTAATCGACGTAAGTTCGGGAATGAGATTATTTTGAGATTATAAGCATTATGCTATTTCAAACAAGTGATGAGTAAATTCATGAAGGTGAGAGGGTAAGCAAATAAAAAAAAATGAGTTTCGTCGAAGTTTGTCAATTTGGGATAAAATATGACCCGAGCTATAATACCCGGTATTTATGGACTTGTGCCATACAAGGTACCATATGTCCACGATAGTAATATGTATAAAGTGTGTT